CCCTCTATTTTCCCTGTGAGTATCAGATTTTCCAAACTTTCTTTTCTCATTATGTGTCCCAGAAATTTCTGCTGCCCGTTTCTGATGTTAAGTATAAGCTTCCTACTTGTTGGCATCCTCTTCAAAATCTCATCGTTGCTCACACGCTCGGTCCATGGTATCCTTAGCATCCTTCTGTAGAACCATACCTCCGTTGCCTCGAGTCTTTTCTTCATCTTTGAGGTGACCGTCCAACATTTGCTGTCCTAAAGGAGGACATATATCACGTAGCAGTCCAGGATTCTTTTATTTGTTACCAACGAAATACTCCTGTCTCATAATACTCTTCCTAGCTTTTGGAATGGCTCTTTGGCCATCGCAATATGTTTTCAGATATCAGCGTCGCACTTCCCAGATATTTAAATTTCCGCACCTGATTGATTTTTGTGCCCCCCAACCTGTAAATCGCATTTCGGGGTCATCTTTTTGCTGATGACCCTGCATTCTGTCTTCTTGTAGTCCCTTCTTCTCGCTCTCCTTCGCTACCATCTGTAGGAGGTTTTTTAGGGCAGTATATTCTATTATAGTTAGTTTTAGTTTGGCGTCTCCCGATGAACATTCAGTAGCTTACGTATTTTGCAATCAATGCGTGCTATTTCACTAAAGCTCCATTTTATAATCCCCAAATCGTATTGACTGAGAATTTATTGCGTCTTTATTGCGATTCGTGGAATCTCCCTATTCTCACAGACAGAATCAGACTGTATATTATGTATAGCGCGTGGACAAACTTGTTTGTCCTTTCTATTATCGAAAGAAGAAACACACAGAGTGACGTCATGAAGAGATTGACAAATGGCGGACGAAAATTAATGCTGAGTTTTAAAAATGGTGTCGAGTGTGAGAATTTAGCAATATCATTGATATAAATAATTTTTTATCGCAATGTTAAAAGAAGATTAAGAGAAAAACACAGACGAAGCTCTACCGAAGGGCAGAGTGTCGTTTGGTGAGATAAACAAACCCGACACCGTGTATACGTGGTCTATGGGCTCAGACTAAGATAGCTACCTAGCTAGATAGATAGATGAAGAGACTGAGATAGATAGATAGATAGATAGATAGATAGATAGATAGATAGATAGATATGAACAGGTTGAAATAGACAGATATATATATATATATATATATATATATATATATATATATATATAAAGGTAGATGCGACTAGAATGAGGCAGATAGAAAGATATGAACAGATTAAGGCATATATATATATATATATATATATATATATATATATATATAGAGAGAGAGAGAGAGAGTAAGAGAGAGATAAATAAATAAATAGATAGATAGATAGATAGATAGATAGATAGATAGATAGATGAGACCAGAATGAGATAGACAGCTAGATGGACAGGTCTAAACAGAAGGATATAGATAGATAGATAGATAGATAGATAGATAGATAGCTTTAACCAGAATGAGATAGATTGATTGATAGATAGATAGGTAGATTGCTGTGACCAGAATGAGATAGACAGCTAGATGGCTGTGACCAGAATGGGATAGATAGATAGATAGATAGATTGATGGCTTGCTACCAGAATGAAATAGATAGATAGATAGATAGATAGATAGATAGATAGATAGATAGATAGATAGATAGACTGACTGACATAAATACCTGCCTGTAGCACTACCCCGTCTTGTAATGGTTAACGAGCTTCTCTAAAGATCAAATTACGACTGAGTAATGAGTTGGATCCTCACTGTGTGCATCATAATTTCCTCCTTGAGCCATATCCTAGCTCTGTTTTGAAATCGCTATAAAAATATTTTGGGCATCTTGACATCGTGTAATGTCTAGCAAGCTTTGTCGCATTAGAACAATTACAAATGTTTAGCGAGTTCGATCCTCACTTCCATACTTTCGGCCTTGTACCACATCTTAGCTCTGTTTTTGAAATCACTATAAAAATATTTTAGAATGCATCTTAGACGATCGATAGATAATGTCTATTCAAGCTTTGTTATTTAATACTGTTTATTATAACAGATTTACAAATGTTTATAAAAGAATGTTAAACATAAAAATGTCGATTAATAAATTGTCGGACTTCCAATTCTTTCGGACGTCATTTGTTTACCATACGCCATGAGCAGTTAGAATGTAGGATTCATGAAGATTGAAATCAGCATAAATTCGATACCGATTTGTAGCCGAGTAGAATGCAAAATCGATTGTAGGTTCGATCCTGTCAAAGGACGAATATTTTCTATGAAAATTTCTCCATTCAGGCCGGTAAATGTTATTTAATACTGTTTATTATAAACAGAGCATTTACTTAAATACTTGTATCTATAAAAAGAATGTTAAACATAAAAATGTCTTTAATAAATTGTTGGACTTTGTCCAATTCTTAATATATATATATATATATCAATTTCATAGACAAATTTAAAGCAGCACTGAACAGATTCTAATCCCACGCACATGGACTCACACCATGCACACATGATGGCCAGATACACTGGCCGGACCGCGCGAACAGGTATTCATGGAGAACAATATATATATATATATATATATATATATATATATATATATATATATATATATACACTGATAGAAACTAATGCACACGTGCACACGCACGAACACAGGAAGAGTGTGTATGTGTTTTTATGCGTGGGTGGTATGTATGTATATGTGTATATACATGTACATATATATGTATGCTGATTCCTTATTATAGGAGAGTATGTATGTCGGGAGGGAGTGTACATATGCAGGCCAACAGGAACACGCATGCACACAGAGATGGAAAGATAACTCTCATCGACATATGCCATCACCGCCTCTCATACCAAACCTATTAGGATTTTTAACACTTAGGCAGAAATTCACTTTTGCTAGTGGCCCAGAAGGGAAATCATAGCTCACTAGCAAATACAGAAAATGAGACATTAAACAACAAAGAAAATTAATTCCTTTTAAAAATTTAATCCTTTCATTGGCCTGAGGAAGGTCACGAGAGCAGAAACCAGTGTAGCAGAAATATGAAGAATAAAAATAAATATATACACTAAAAGAAATCTACATTATAACCAAAAACGCTTGCAGTTTCTCTCTTTTTTAAATATATATATATATTTGTATTAGGACAGCAGATCAGTATTAAAACATATATTGAAGGTCTATTATATTTGATCAGGAGCCGTTCTAAACTTCGTATTGTTGCTTTAATTTCAGGTGAAAAATAAAGACAAAAATTGTCCAACATTTGAATATTTTTATCAAGCTGGTCCTTGATCTAAGGTTTCGGCTCACATGAGCCATCCTCAGCGTGGTTATATGGACATTTAAACAAAGATATTCACCATGCGACGTGGTGTGACGTCACAGAACCGCATCACGAATTCACGAACTGCGTCTGCTATTCTGCGACCGTTATTGTCTCATAGAATTCTTCTATGTCAACATAAAAGAATATCATCTTAACGTTCGGTAAATACTAAGTCAAAACCCAAATCATCGACGCCCAATAATTCACACTAATTCGACTGGATAGATCCAGCCAATAATCACTTAATAATCACTTCAGTCAGTAGCCTGACAACGGTATTTATACACTTGGCGCAAAAACATATATTCATAAGTCCAAAGTGTCACGTTCGAACCTTGGAGTCGGTAGTTTTTCTTACATATTTATAAGTCTACCATTCATCCATGCTTCGAATATTGTAGCCACATATGATGCTCCTGCTATATATGTAGAGATCCTTGATAAAATCCAAATAATTATCAGCAATATTATCGGTGCTGATCAGGCGGCTCGGCTACAGTCACTTACCCAACCACCGTTGCGTCCCTTTGCCTTTTCTATATATACCTTCATGGCAACTGTTCGCTTGTGCTCTTCGCTATAGGCTTTTTAATTTGAGCGCAACACTCGACTGGCGACGAGGTTTCACCAATTTACAAGTGAGTTGGTTAGATGTAGCAGTAAGTTCTATGCAAACAGTCTATTTTCTCGCACTTCTCGCTTGTGGGGCGCAATGTCAATCGCTATTTACTATTCTCCTGTTTATTGATCTCACTCCTTAGTAATATTTCTGCTTCGTTATTCCAAGTAATCCGTTGTGTTTTAGTGGCTTTATTGCCTTCCTTGGGGCGAACATGATTATATATATATATATATATATATATATATATATATATATATATAAAGTTTGCATCATATTCAACAATGAAGTCTCCATAATTATTAACTTCCTTTAATTTCTCTTGTTCATTTCTGGATCGATCCAAATTTATGTAGGTGTGTTTGTTGTCTATATATCCCAAACAGCGTACACTGCAATCTGCAAAAGAAATAAGTCAGAAATGTTTATCAGACAGAATCAAATTGTATATTATTTATAACGTGTGGGCCAACTTGTTTATCTTTTTCTATTATTTAAAAAAAAGAGACAGTGACGTCAGGAAGAGATTGACAAATGGCGGACGAAAATTAATGCTACATTTTACAATGGCGTCGGTTGGGATAAAGCATCAATATTATTGCGTTAATTTGAATATTTTAATTGAAAACTTAAAACAGCAGTAAATGTCTGCTTTAAAATAAAAGCATCAATATATTTGTTATTTGTAGGATTAGTTGGTGATAAAACGCATTTGTCACGGGTTAAAAACATAGATAGACAGATAGATATACAATGATCACTAATAGACTTAGATAGATAGATAGATAGATAGATAGATAGATAGATAGATAATACAATGATCATTGGCAGACTTAGTGTAATATACTGGATCTATGAACACTAATGGGTATGTTCCTGTCCTCATAGATACGTTGGCACTACTGCAAGTGGGGGGGGGTAATATGCTGTCTAAATAGTCCACCACTTCTATTTTTTTGATGTTATAAAGATTAGCTTCATTTCTAACGTCCGTTTCGGTTATTCCTCACTCAGTAACCCTTTCTAGTTTACAAAAGATAGATAGATCACTAATGGACACAGCTGAATAGATAGATAGATAGATAGCTGCGACCAGAATGAGATAGATAGATAGATAGATAGATAGATAGATAGATAGATGGCTGGGACCAGAATGAGATAGATAGAGAGAGATGTGACCAGAATGAGATACATAGATAGATAGATAGATGTGACCAGAATGAGATAGATAGATAGATAGATAGATTACTGTAATCCGAATGAGATGGATAGATAGATGGCTGTGTCCAGAATGAGATAGATAGATAGATAGGTAGATGGCTGTGACCAGAATGAGATAGATAGATAGATGTGATCAAATTGAGATAGATAGATAGATAGATAGATAGATAGATAGATAGATAGATAGATAGATCGATGGCTGTGACCAGAATGAGATAGATAGATAGATAGATGGCTGTGAGATATGATTGTAATGAGATAGATAGATTTGAACTGAGTTACCTAGCTAGCTAGTTAGCTAGATGGATAAATAAATATGAACTGTGATAGATAGATAGATAGATAGATAGATAGATAGATAGATGGCTGTGACCAGAATGAGATAGATAGATAGATAGATATGATTATATTGAGATAGATAGATGTGAACTGAGATAGCTAGCTAGATAGATCGATATGAATTGAGATAGATAGATAGATAGATAGATAGATAGATAGATAGATAGATAGATAGATAGATAGATAGATGTGACCAGAATGAGAGCGATAGATAGATTGATAGATATGAAGAGACTATTTCGGTGAATTCAATTCTGAATGAAATATCAAACATACTCTACGGTAGTATACTTTTCTTTTCTTTTCATTCATTTTCAAGTGTTACCTGAGTACTTAAGATAACCCCTTACATCTGGCCACCTCACTCCACAGACTGCAACGCCCTTGATTATGTGTGGAGTGCAGTTGAGCGAAAGACCAACAAAACTCATTGTAATGCCAAATATGAACTGAAGGCAACGATTATGGCAGCATTTACCAACTTAAATATGGAGACCGCCCAGAAGAGTTGCAAGTCGACTGGTGACCGTCCTTGAAGACAATGGCGATTTTATTGAACAAATTTACTCTTTAGTATTTTAAGAAATTTTTGTGCAATTCTTGTATATATATCTGTTAAAATGAGATGTCTGTTATTTTCTAATATATATATATATATATATATATATATATATATATATATATATATATATATATATATGTGTGTGTGTGTGTGTGTGTGTGTGTGTGTGTGTGTGTTTTGTGTGTACGTACGTATGTATGTATTAGAAAATAACACTGACATCTCATTTTAACATATCTATCTATCTATCCATCTATCTATCTATCTATATATCTATCTATCTATCTATCTATATATATATATATATATATATATATATATGTGTGTGTGTGTGTGTGTGTGTGTACGTATGTATGTATTAGAAAATAACACTGACATCTCATTTTAATCAGTCTGTTCATATCTTTCAATCATATGGGTTATTTTATTTATTGTTAATAAATGTTTCTCAAAACAGTGGTTTTAAATTTTCCTTCTATGTTTTGATTGACAATGTTCGTTTAAATATTTCCTATAAGTTTCGTTGAAATTGATCTGTTATTTTTTGAGATATGTAAGAAAAACCATTGTGTTAAATACTTTTGCTACCCACTATATATATATATATATATATATATATATATATATATATATATATATATATATATACTCTCTTAGTCCTGTAATTATGATTTCAGCTAATGTAATATCTTTCGATTCATGAAAATGTATTGTGGCTGTTTTTTTATGAATAAAACTTGTATTCATTATTGTATCAGTTTGTTTCACCTACAATTTACAACATATGTTTATGCCACAAATTTATAATTTTCATCTCAATGAATAATTATATTTTCCGTTCATGATTTGATTAAATGTAACTGAGATTGACTGTTATATTATTCTTTTCACATCACAATGACAATATTTTACATAATTGTAAAACTATAAGCATTTTGTCTTGTGGGGTCTGTAAACACCGTGTGGACTATCCATTTTCGGAAATTCGAGTTTACTAACGCAGCTTTTTAAGATATCATTCAGCCCACCCACAGACTTTAAACATCTGATTTCTTTCTTTTTATCAGCCATGTCCTTTCAGTACGTAGGCGATCATGGCTCTCCACCTCCTTCTATCCTTTGCAGCTCTCAACAAGTTCCTTCCCTCTGCTTTCTTCCCCAGACAACGTTCTGTCATCCGCTTGCTTAACCCCGCCAGGTATGTCACGTGTTGTTTTCCCTTGTCTTTCTTTCCCTCTGTTTGACTTGTGAGTATCAGATTCTCCAGGCCTTCCTTCCTCATTATGTGTCCCAGAAACTTCAGCTGCCTCTCCCTGATATTAAGTATAAGCCTCCTGCTTCTTTGCAACCTCTCTAAGACCCCATCGTTTCTCACACGCCCAGTCCATGATATACTCAGCATCTTTCTGTAGAACCACATCTCTGTCGTTTCGAGTGTCTTCTTCATCTTTGAGGAAATCGTCCAACTTTCGCTGCCTTAAAGAAGGACAGATGTCACGTAACAGCTCAGTATTCTTTTCTTTGTTACCAAAGAAATCCTCCTGACTTGCAATTTTTTTTGCCCAGCATTTAGAATGCGTCCTTGGCCATCCCAATACGTCTACGGATCTCAGTGTTGCACTTACCGTCTTTTGTCAAGACGCTTCCCAGATATTTAAATGTCTGCGTCTGCTTAATTCTAATGTTCCCGATCTTCAAATCGCATTTCGGGCCCCTCCTTTTACTGATGACCATTTATTCTGTCTTCTTGTAGTTTATGCTTAGTCCTTTCTTCTCACTCTCTGTTGCTACCTTCTTTAGGAGATTTTGTAATTTCTTTTCCGTGTCTGCTATCAGTCATCTGCGTATCTTATGTTAGTAAGATTGTGACTGCCAATGCTAAATCCCGGTAGGCCTTTCAATTCTCTCAGAATGGCCTCGCTGTATAGGTTGAACAAGTCTGTTTTTTACTTTCTAGCGCTCTCTAGAAACTGAAACAGAAATAATCTCAAACACTGTTTAACCTTTTTTTATTTTTAACTTGAAACAAGTTTTTATTTTATTAAGTCAAGTATTCAACAAACGGGATTGTATCTGTCTATATCTCTGAGATGAAGTATTATGATTACTTTACGTATCATTAAGATTATTATCCTCATCTTCACTGCCATATTCACAAAGTTTCGGCCGTTGTACGCTCCTGTCTTTATGTCTATGTCTCTCTATATATCTGTCTATATCTCTGAGATGAGGTATTATGATTACTTGCATTATTTACATTATTCGGACTGTCATCCTCGTCTTCATTGCCATATTCATCCGTTTCGTCTTTATACACCCGGCCTTTATGTTTATACCTCTCTATATATCTGTCTAGATCTCTGAGATGAAGTATTATGATTACTTGCATTATGTACATTATTCGGACTATTATCCTCATCTTCATTGCCATATTTAACGTTTATGTACGCTCCGGCCTTTATATATCTGTCTATATATCTGAGATGAGATGAGGTATTATGATTACTTGCATTATTTACATTATTCGGACTGTTATCCTCATCTTTTATTGCATTGCCATATTTCAACGTTTCGCTCCATCCTTCTTCAGTTTGTTTCGCCGAACTCCGGCCTTTTGTGTCTATATCTCTCTATATATCTGTCTATATCTTTAAGATGAGGTATTATGATTACTTACATTATTTACATTATTCGGACTGTTATCCTCATCTTTATTGTCATATCCACAACGTTTCAATCGTTGTACGCTCCGGCCTTCTTCAGGTGATTGGAATTTCGAACCGAACTCTCTATTTTGTCCACATTATTTCGGCCGTTGTACGCTCCGGCCTTTATGTCTATATCTCTCTATATATCTGTCTATATCTTTAAGATGAGGTATTATGATTACTTACATTATTTACATTATTCGGACTGTTATCCTCATCTTTATTGTCATATTCACAACGTTTCAATCGTTGTACGCTCCGGCCTTTCTTCAGGTGATTGGAATTTCGAACCGAACTCTCTATTTTGTCCACATTATTTCGGCTATATATCTTTATATGCTATATCTTATATCTGTCTATATCTTTAAGATGAGGTATTATGATTACTTACATTATTTACATTATTCGGACTGTTATCCTCATCTTTATTGTCATATTCACAACGTTTCAATCGTTGTACGCTCCGGCCTTCTTCAGGTGATTGGAATTTCGAACCGAACTCTCTATTTTGTCCACATTATTTCGTTGGTTAGATCACGTGACTAAGGCCTAAAGAGTTGTGAGTTCAATACCAGACCATAGCAGTGGTGAAGAAAAACTTAGAGATTTGAGTTAAAGGGAGATAACTGAGACACCCGGGGAAGAGGAATGTCACGTGGAACTAGAACAATCTACCCCGATGGACGAAATAAAGGGTTCAGTTCGAAATTCTAGTCATCTGTAGATTGTACAACAGTCGAAACGTCGTGAAGATGACAATAAAGACAATAATGTAAATAATGCAAATAATTACAATACCTAATCTTAGAAATATAGAGATATTGAATTTTCAACTATTTCTTCCTGATTCCTGTTTTTAAGGATAAGTATTTTTTTTGCTTCTACTTCCTTTAAAATTAACTTGTTACTCGCATGTTCAATTAATGCAAGTCTCAGCATCCTTCTTAACACTATATTTCTTCATATATATATATATATATATATATATATATATATATATATATATATATATATATATAAGTGCGTAGGTATGCAGAAAATAGAAAAGAACACGTTGGGTGCATAATCCGGGGTTCCTTAGTATTTTTTGTTTTTTTTTTTTAAGAAGAGAGTGCTCCATACAGAAGTAGAGCTTATATTATAATAATATTTTTGTTTAAAAATATGATTCCTTCGCTTCCTTCTAAAAAAAATGTTTCAATAACGAGAGCCAACATCAAAATAATTATTAAAATTAAGTTGGATTGTGGTGTTTAGTCCCGCTTGAAGATGAAAAAGGACTAAACAATCACAATCCAACTTAATTTTAATAATTATTTGGATATTTCGGCCTCGTTTTTGAAACATGAGAACTCTTATGTAGCGAAGGAATCATATTTTTAAACAAAAAGAATTATAATATATATATATATATATATATATTTATAGATAGATAGATAGATAGATAGATAGATGGTGTCCCAACATAATGTATACACTCTTTGAATCGTTATTCAGTTTATGTATTTTGACTTGTAAATAAGATTAATACAAGAGAAAGCATACACATTTAAAGAATTTGAGAGTAAAATATACAAAAAACATAGAAAATTAACTTTAATAAGATAAAATCTATTTGGGTCAATGGAAGAATGTTCATATAATGATGAGTTCACATCAAGGGCTCAAACTTGTTCCTAGTTTTCTTTTTGTTCTATCGCCTCAAGTTTCTTCTTTATCTATGAGGAGATTATCCAGCATTTATTGTCGTAAGGGAAGATCGATATTATGACAAGATTATGAAAAAAAGATCAGGATATTATTTTCTTTTAAAAATACAGAGATGCATTGCACGAAGCGGTGATCGCGTTATATTCAACGTGATCTTTTACTCTTAGCTTGATACAAACGTAGTATCCGACTGGATTTGAACGCTTTGAGTTCAACCTATATTAAGACAACTAAAATGTAAATACCTTTAAGATGACACTGGAAATAAGTAATTTAAAAACGTTTTTTTCGAAAATTGGCGTCACAATTATGAATTTAAAACAATTTCTCTAATTTCAATATTAAATAAAACAGCTTTATTTTTTTTTCCATTCAAGAAGATATATAACATTGCATGTTAGAAATTATAAAACAACACTTCAGACTTTGAAAACTAAATTCATTAAATGAAGTTTCTTCATTTCAAAACTTCAGACAATAGATAGGCTTTGTCTATTGTCGGAAAATGGTGTTCTCAATTCTCGACGGACATTGTCCAGACCCCAAACCAAATAAGCATTGTTTCCGTGTAATTGTGTTTCCTGTTCCTGATTAATTCTCTTTAAATATTTAAGAGGGAAGCGCAAATCAGATTTTAAAGAGAATCGGCATAGCAATCTTAGAGAATCGATGAAAGAAGACTGCAGTACACCCTTGTACAACAGTTTGCCGTATGTATATCGTAAAATAACGAATATGAAATTAAAGAAAAATTACTCAAAAAATGCATTAGCCTATTCATCACTGTTTCTCGAGGAAACACAACGGTTCCGGGTAAGACCAGTTGAGAAAAGCTAGTCTAGAGCTTTATTATCTGACACCGACAAGATAATATAGTGATTGGTTACTTTCGGTTTAACAGTCATACACCCTTGCGCAAATTAACTGAAACAAAACAAATAATTCCATTATTATTTACCCTTTTTTTCATATTTTTCCAATGCATAGTCATATGTTCATTCCACGAAGTCATTCCTTGTAGACTAACCACAGATTCTCAATCGGATTTAAATCAGGAGAGTTTCTGGGCCAGTCTATATAGTATTTTGATTTGATTATTGGCCTTTGCGTTCGTGTAGCGTTACAAATTTTTGTCCTTCTTCTTGGAATAACGTCCATCGCAGGACAACTAATCGACAGTCGAGACAATAGTGTCTAGGCGTGATAAAAATCTGATGCAATCACGGATGACGCAATGTATTTCAAGGCCAAACAAATTTCATCATACACTTCGAAAATAGATTCATATTACTGCACACCATTTCAAATGACCTAATCTGAGGAAAAAATAGAAATCGATTACATCCTATCACTTCAGTGGGTTTATAACTGACGTATGGTGAAAGAAAGGAAACTAAAACGGTTGTGTCAATTAATTTGCACAAGGATGTACTGGGTTCGGTAGAAATAATCCAACATATGCCACCCAGAAATAACTCCCCAATATACCCCCAAGAAACACTTTCCAGAAATGCCACCTACATACACATCCCGGAAAATACTACCCACACGTACCTCTCAGAAATACCTCCGACATACACCTCCCAGAAATACCCCTCTCAGAAACCCGTCCCAGAAATATCCCCCAAATAACTCCCACATATATTTCCCAGAAATAGCTCCAACATCCATCTGCCAGAAATACCCCTCATATACACCTCTCAGGAATACTTCCCAGAAATGCCCCAAAATACCTTCCACATATACTTACCAGAAATACCTCCACCATCTACCGCGCAGAAATACCCCTCTTATACACCTCTCAGAAATATGTCCTTGAAATACCCCAAAATACGTCACACATATACATCCCAGAAATACCTCCAAAATCTCTTTCCATAAATACCCTCACATACTCGTCTCCGAAATGCGTCCCAGACATAACCCCAAAATACTTCCCACATATATCTTCCAGAAATACCTCCAACATCCACCTCCAAGAAATACCTCCACATATATTCTCAGAAATACGTGCGAGAAATACCCACAAAAAACCTCCCACATATACCTCCCAGAAATACCTCCCACATGCGTCTCCTGGAAATACAT